TCAAAAAGTGTTTGAGTCAATTTGCCTTACACCTCTTGTTTAAGAATTTGAAAGAGCTGTACTGTGTCATACATCCTGTGAACTGGTTTGATAACTATCTCTCACACAGAACTCAGTGTGTACAAGCAAACGGACCCACTTCCAGTTGTCCAAAAATTACCAAGGGCATTCCACAGGTGTCGGTTCAAGGACCACTTCTCTTAATTTATACAGAAACAAAATTACAGGTAATGTTTCCAATGCCAATGTCCATTTTTATGCAGATGATACTGTGCTGTACACCTCAGCATCCACACCAGAATCTATCGCAGCTGCAAACTGTTTTTTAATATTGTCCGGTCAAGTTTTTATGACCTAAAGCCTGTTTTAAACTCAAGAAAAAACAAATTCATGTTGTTCTCAAAGTCAAAACCACAGAGCCTGCCTGCAAACACCTCTTCTCTGATTGAACTAGTGTCGCAGTGTAGATACCTTGCAATTTTAATCAATGACTCCCTCTCTTTCACACCTCACATCCAGCAGCTGGCAAAGAGACTGAAATTGAAACTGGGTTTTTTATTTTAGACTCAAGTCTTGCCTGTGTTTTGAGGCCAAAAAGAGACTGGTTGCTGCCACTCTTAAGTCTGTGTTGGACTATAAAGACACGATATACATGAATACTTCTGCTCAAAGCCTGAGTGTTTTAGATCACAGTGCTTTAAGGTTTATCACCAGTTTTAAGCCTTCGACTCATCATTGTTTGTTGTACTCTCGTGTTGGCTGGTCAGATTTGACTCCATGAAGGACAAAACACTGGCATGTTTTCATTTGTTTCATTTCTTTAGGTTTGCTCCCTTGTTATTTACAGGTTTTTATTTGTACAAAAGCTGCAGGTAGTTACAGTGTGCGGTCCCAAGATCTATGGTGACTGTCTGTTCCCAAGGATTGAACAGAACGGAGGAAAAAGATTTTAAATTTAGGACCTGAAACCTCAAGAGCTGGTTTCTTTAAACACTTTTAAAGTGTTCTTGAATGACTTGGATGCAGAACCATCAGTCTGTAGATGTTCTGGCAGATTATTATTTTTGCTAGTTACTTTTCTGATCTGTGCTGATATTTGATTTCTTACCTTCTAAATTTAATTTCACCATGTATTATGAGTATGATGTTAAATTTAAAAAAAGAAAATAAATGTATGTGACAATAAACAGAAAGTGTGTTTCTTTGAGGTAAGTAAAAACCTTCAAAATTGTTTGCAATTTAGTAGATTTGCAATAGGTCCATAAAGCCCATTATCCTTTTTGTTTGAGGATAACTGGTTTGGTCCAACTTTAGAAAACAGTTTGCATGCAGTTAGATACTAAATAAATTCTGTACATTGAGTTAATGTCAAATATTTCTTGTGAACCATTACTCTGCATTTTCTAAATTACTTCACAGTTGTAAATTTTTTCAGCGTCACTGCTGAACCAATGCACTTCCCATTCCCTGCTAGCAAAACGTGTATAAACACATGTTAAAAACAAATGTTGACCATGCTTTTACTGCAATTCCCAATGCTGTGGGGAAAAAACTCTCCCTGAGTCAGTGTCTCTGTCGCAGCTTTTAATAACTCGTCTGGCATTCGTATAATAATTCAAACTTTTCTTTTCTTCTTTTAATATTTTGGCTTTTGTTGCTCTTTAAAATCACCTTGTCACGGCGATAAAAGTTTATTGCCATTATTATTTAAAACCTACAACATACACAGTTTCGTGGCACAGCAGGAAACCAGTCGTCATCGTCCAGTCACCGGTGGTTAGAACATCACCACCCACCAAGTTTCATGGCACTGGAAGTCCAAAAAAATCCAGTCAGACAACATCTGGATCCAGAAGCTGAATGGATCCAGACAGTAAAGACCAGGAGCAATTTCTAATTTTATTTCTATTTTAATGTCTTTCATGCAAACCACTCAATGCCTGTCTTTTTTCTCTCCTCTATGACGTGTCACTGGGAAGTTAATGTGTTTAATCATAAATCAGAACAAAGGTACACAACGCTTCACATGCTGTAGCAAACAAGCAGCAGAGCTCAGTGTGGCTGCCCTGAGTGATTGCAGTCTGATCTCAACACCTTCAGGCCTGCATGGATGGATAACTTAGCAGCAAAACGAAAAAAAAACCCAACATAATTGCAGCTTTGGTTCATCTCATATTAAATAAAGAGAGACAGCTGCCACGTATACAGTGAGAGAGAGAGAGGGGTGAGGGCAAACAGAGGGGTGTGAGAGGAGGGAGGAGGAAATAAAAGAAGAAAAAGTAGGCAAACTAGAGAGTGAAGGAGAGAATAAATGATGTGGGAGGAGGAGAGAGTCTCACATTGTCACGACACCTCCTCCCCTTTTTCCTCACCCTCCTCTTCTCTCCATCTTCGGCTGGACTGTGGCTTCCAGGCAGAATGGAAAATGCCACGTTGCATCGTAGGTTTTTTCCCCCTCCCTCCCTGCTTCTCATCCAGCTGTTCCTCACATCAGCTCTGGTCTGCACTGTGGGAACAGACAGAAGCAATCCACCAACCCCCGACTGAAAAAAAAAAACAGAAAAGAGGAGAAAGCAGAGCGAGAAGCAGAAGGAACCATGTGGAGCTCGATTGCTTCTGTCTGCCAGCAGACGGCAGGTGTTTGAAAACTGCTTTGTGAATCTGGGCTGTGATGAGGTCAATGTTCCACAGACTGAAGGTTTGCTGTGAACTCTCTGGAGGACTGAATGCTCACAGAGTTACAGCTTTACAGGAACCCAGACTGACGCTTCAGAGTGGGAACATGACACATATACACTGTAAAAAACAAGCAAAAACATAAATCTGCAGATAAATGGTGAAAATTTGGCACAAAAAAATATGTAAAAAAAAAACCCCACAAGAATACTGCAATGTTAACAACTGAAAAACATTTAAAATGACTGCGAGTATGTGTAAAATAATGACACTTTTAGCTGAAGTAAATAGAGTACAACAGGAGTTTTAGTGTCCCATTATCCATCCATCCATTATCTGAACACCGCTTAATCCTCGCTAGGGTCATGGGGGGCTGGAGTCCATCCCAGACAACTCAGGATGAAGGCAGGGGACACCCTGGACAGGTCACCAGTCTATCACAGGGCTACACTTAGAGACAGACAACCAAGCACACTCACATTCACACCTACGGACAATTTAGAATCACCAATTAACCTCAGCATGTTTTTGGACTGTGTGGGAGGAAGCTGGAGAACCCGGAGAGATCAGTTAGCAGCGAATATGCTAGTGAATAGCAGCGATAGCAGCGAAGACGATGGTAGTGGAACATCATCAGTATGTTCACATATGGGGATTCTCACTGATAGCCAATCAGAATGAATGTAACAGAGAGTCACCATATACCGGAGCCACTATACCGATCTACAGGGTTGACAGGGTGAAAGCCGCAGACCGGTATAGCGGGCTATAGTGTTGAAAGGGTTAACAAAACTTTAAAATACTAACATATGTAACTGTTAACAAATATATGTAACTAAATAATAGAACACTTTGAGAACAGTCAAAAACTGTTGAAACATTCTTTTCTTCTTTTTTTTTTTTTTACATTGCAGATAGCTGGATATGAACAGTTACCCAAGGCCCGTCCAGTCTTCTGTCTATGACCAATGATCTAGGCATCACTGAGTCACTGGGAATCATTAGTGAGCATGTAGATCTTCCATGAATTCACTCTGCTGGAGGAACCATCCTTCCCTGAACTCCCTCCCAGCTCCACGACTGCTTCCTTGACCTCTGACCTCCGACCTCTGACCCCCTCAGGAGGAGGGAAGACTGGAAATATAGATGTGCAACAGACGGTGTGTCTTAAGAAGGCAACGTCAGAGATATTTCCTTAAATTAGACCCACGCAGTTGTCTCTCCTCTGCAGCTTTAGACTCATTCATTCACTGACTTTGATCTCCAAGTCAGGAAGTAATGAGACAGACGGGATTTTTAACCTGGCTTTTAACTGATTTGTATTTGTTCATTTGTCTAACTATTTATATGTTTTGGTGTATTTTCTCTGTCTTTTAGCATTTCACTTATTTTCCTTTTTAAAAAAAAATTATTTATTCATTTTTATGTTTCCCCAGTTGTCTGTCCTGTTTTCATTGAGTCCTGTATTTATAGTGAAGGACTTTATGGGGCATTCGGGGTATTTATTGTTTTTATCAGCACTTTGTGTTACATTCTATATCTTTAAAAAGTGTTATACCAGTAAAGTTTGACTCATTTATATGCTTGTGTTTGATATTTCACTAAAGGTGCAATATTTCCCTAACATAGGCCCAACACTTATAAAAGGCACATTCATCTGTATTTTCAAATCTGGTTTCTTGTTGTCCACTACGACCAATGACAAATGACCAAAAATGTGTTTTTGTCATTTATGAAATATATGTTTTTCTGAGATCTCTTAGTGCAGATCAATATATTTTATGTTATGGCACCATAAGTCAACACCCATCATCCATTATTATTATTATTATGTTGTTTTTGGACTGTGTGGGAGGAAGCCGGAGAACCTGGAGAGAACCCACGCTGCACGGGGAGAACATGGAGACTCCATGCAGAAGGATTCCGGTGCCACCACCGGGACACAAACCAGCGACCTTCTTGCTGTGAGGCAACAGTGCTACCAACTGTGCCACCCTGCATCCCTAAGTCAACACCATAATCACTAATTTGGCCCATTTATTATTTGACTCTGTACTACACTTTAAAACAAAGCATTTAATGGATCCTTTAATGCTACAACATGCTCGACTCTTTACATCAACCAACCAGTGAAGAAACTACCAGAAAGTTTTCCCCAAATCTCACTCAGCAGCCTAAACTTGAAACGGGACATCAGTGGGAGCCCAGAGTGAACATTAAGCCCCGCCCACCAGGGCAGGAAGACAGAGGGGAGGGTGTAATGTGAGGTTTGGGTTGAGGGAAAATAGGAGGAGGAGGGGGAACCGTGTCCAAACTGGGACGTCCCACTGGAAATGTCTTCTGTGTTAAGTGGTGAGAGTGTTAGATCGTCCCGGCCCTGCACACAGCTGACTTCTCTCCTGGTGTCCCTGCTCTGCAAAGCCGAAGGTAAGAGGTCTCAGTCTGCACTGCAGAACCCAGCTCTGCTTAGCGCTAGTCATGTGACACTGGATGGTGATGTGAAGAAGTTATGGGACTTTGTGTTTTCCTTTGTTGGGCATCCAGATGCAGTGATTTGAGGACATGTGGAGAGAGAGATTTTTCACAACTTACTGACTTTGTTTTCCTGTGATCATGCTATAAAACTCCACTTTGTCGTGCATTTTGGTGAAGCTGAACCTTTAAAAGCAGAATATTTTTCCTTAAATAATGACAACGTTGTTTGTCACCTACATTAAAATCAGGTCAAATCCATCAAGTCTGACATAATTAAAAACCTTCACACTCAGTTCACCTGCTACCGTTTCACATTTCCACAATCTACACTTGGTTAACTGCGAAAATTTCAAAAACAGCCGCCTTTTTCTTACTATTTACTCTTTTCTTGCAAACACACCTTAAAATGCCAGACATCTGGTTTAAAGGCAGCTGCTTTGGCTTCAGAACTCTGTGTACAGACTCGCCTGTCATTACTGCTAACAGCTGCACGGAAAATCACTCCCTGCAGGTAAACAATCTGGGATTATGAGGATTCATTCTCTGTGGAGGTATTGTGTGCCACATCGGCAATAAGAGGAGGAGGAGGAGGAGGAGTGGTGGGGACTGTGGGTTCGGGCTTGGGGGAGGAGGGATGCCAACACAGGCTTACATGGCAGTTAAGTTTTAAAGCATTTTTGTTTTGGTCTCATTGACAGCTTTGATTTTCTACTTGAAACAATTAAAGTTTTGTCAAACAATCAGTCAAGAGTTGAGTTTGGCAGCACAAACAGCCGTTATCTCTGGTGACTTCTGTCAAGGGATTTCGGAAAACTATCCGAACTGAAAGAAAGAAAGAAAGGAAAGAGTGGCGGTGGATGAAATTCCAACAAAGCCTCACAGAGCAATGGGAGCGTTTCTCCACAGATATCCCTCTCAGACTCCCTCCCTTCATCCCCCTCTCTGATTACTCACATGTAAAGGAATGCGGGTTGCCATGGCGATCGGTTACCAGCTGTTTCTCTGAGTTAATGAAGATGCCTTCAAGTGTTGGAACTTTTTTGTGATTTATAATAAGAGGGTGAAATTCTTGCCTATTTTTTAGTATGCATTTGATCAGAGCACGGTTTGTCCTAGATTCTTTTTTTTTGCTTCAACTGAGAGAATACATTTTTCTGCAGCACACAGTGATAATCTCTAGACAATAGCATGATTCCAACTTTGTGGAGAGTTTAGAGAAAGCCCTTTCCTGTTTCTTTGTGCACAAATCCAGCTCCATAAAGAAATGCTTCTCACACTTTGCTGTGGAACAACTTGATTGGCCTGAAAGAGAGAGAGAGAGCTCTGATCTTAACCTCATCCAACAGCTTTTGGATGAACTCGAACTCAGCTGCGAGCCAGAACTTTATCACGCAACAAGTGTTGAATCTCACTAATGCCCTTGTGGCTGCAAATCCCTGCAGCCAGGCTCTGAAATCTGCTGGAAAATCTGAAACGAGAACAGTGGAGAAAGCAGCGCCTGAATGCACATAGTTTCGACTATTTATCATGGCTGTGCAAGTAGATGTGCTGTAAACCTGTTCCTCAAAGACAAAAAGGAAATGTATGCTTAAGTGTGACGGTAGAATCCTAAGTTGCTTTTTTAGCTTCATCTATCTGAACCTAACATCTAAGTACAAATTATATGTATTCTGTCTGGTGTCTCTGGAAGCTCTGCGATCCTTCCCTAACACTCTGCAACACCTCTCATGTCGATAAAAGACCAAATCACTTAAATGTCCTTCTCGTTGGTCACACCTGTCGAGGATTTTCCCGAGCTGTGTTCGGGAAGACCGAAGCACAATGTGTCTAGCATTAGTATGGACGAAGAGGAGACGGAGCGTCTCTGGGGCTTAATTGTTGAGGTGGCAGGTCTGGACCAAAGTGGGAGGAGGAGGAGGTGGAAGGGAAGGGAGGAGGAGGGGAGGGGGGCTGTGGCGTTGGAGCTGAGGATGCTGTGAAATACCAGGGCCAGCTTGGCAATCTCGAGAAAAGCACTAATCCCCCCGACAGGAGGGAGGGTTTTATGCTGCTGTCTGGACTTGACGTGGAGAAAAAAAAAAAGAAAAAAGGAAAGTGGAGTTTAGTGTTAGTGAGAGGGGCAGAGACAGAGACAAAGAAAGACAGACACAGTGTCAATAAAAAAAGACTGAACATGCAAAAGAATTTTTTAAACAAACAGGATGGAGAAGAATAACAGAATAGTGAGATAAAAAGGAAAGGAGACTCAGTCCTGCTGCTGCTGCTGCTGGGACAGAAAAACCTTCCTCAGATAGACGCGACTCATACGTTTCTGGGCTTGACACTGTTGTGTTGCTCCACCAAACTTCTAAATCACTTCTTGATCAAGCAGCACCTTCTCTCAGCAGCTCTCGTTTGCCGGCCATCATAACTAAACACATCGGCTCTTCTCTTTATTTGAATGACAACAGTGAGGGTTTGGAACAACAAACTATTGACATGTTTTCTGTGCAGTTTTACATTTACAGTCAGTGGAGATGACAAAAGTGCTTTAAGTCACACATCTGCATCTAGGAGACTTCACATGCACAAACAAAGATTGTTGAACTTTTATCTGCTCAGACGGGCAGCAGAGGTCTGATTAAAGCTGAATAAACACGAATAAGTGCAGCTCTGTGCTATTATCGGGAATAGCAAAAAAGCCAGAGAGAGGCGAGAGGGCAAGGATGAAAGCAGAGTGCAATCAAAGCAAAGAGAGGTATAATTTTCCGCAGCAGTTCATACAAATCCAACCTAATGGCAATGAACAATGCGGAGCTGTTCCTCTAGAAACAATCACCACTGATATGAGAGCGAGTGCATGTTTTTTTTGTTGACAACAATCCAGAGAAGAGAACTCAGAGAGAAGACATGAAAAGGAAACAGAAAGAGCAGTTTTTCACCCAATGGAAAGTGTAATTTTGTCCCGATGAAGTGAAAAGGGTGGGGAGGGGAGGGAATGAGGTCAGGTGACGAGGAGCTCAGGTTACAAAGATCCTGACTTTTCTTCTCCTTTTCCCCCGAGCTCGCCTCCATTCTTCTGGTCTTGTTTGTGCTCTTTGTGCTCACCGATACAGGTGACTGCTGCTCTCGCTGAAAACTGCTCTTTGTCCAGGCAGCTTAAAGGGAGTTCCCCTGCTGCACACTCTGGAGAGAAACTGGATTTGTTTTTCTAGGTGTCTGATTGCCAGCGAGAAAATAGTTACTGCAGGTTGAAGTTTGAACTTTTAGGTGACCAAATAGTAAAAACTTTGAAAAATAAAAAAGCTGAGTTTATTATTCATAAAGTAACTGATATTCAGCAGGTCAGAGGTCCTTTGTTAACAGTATAAAGAAAGACACGAGTGTTGTTTCATGCTTTTGTTTACCTCAACAAACTCCTAGAAAACATATTTTAAGCGTTATTGCTGCAGTCAAAGCCTCACATACATAGCACATGAATATAATCCAAATGCTATTAAAACAACTTAAAATAACATTTACATTTTGGTGGCATATTTGCTCACTTCTAGACATCAAACATAAAGTGAATAATCTTCATAGTGTCATTATTATATCAGATGCTAAAGTCAGGATGCACTAGACGATAACTGAGCAGTCGGTCTCTGAGCAAATCAGATCTGGGAGAAATGAGCTGATGTGAAGATGTGGACAGTTTTATCAAGGAACAAAGTGCTGTGGCTAGGGAACTGGGGTAAAGCATCTTTGAGACAACAAAGCATCAGTGGTGAGAATCGACTGAGGGACCAACAGCCACAGCTGCTCAGGGATGTTAAGGAAGCAGCGGACGTAAAGGATTTGTTGCTAATATCAGATGAAGCCTGTATATACCAGACACCACAAGGGACCTCCAGCTGCCTGGCAGGGTGCAGGCAGTGGTGGGCCGGATGCAACGCTCCGACAGCATGTTTTGGCTCATCAGTTTAATATTGAAAATCTTTCAATGGTTTGGGGCCATAGTGCTGCATACATGTCAGAGTTATTGTAAATACTAGTTTCAACATGTAGACAGCACTCAGAAAACAGTCTTAGTTGTAATTCCGACTGGGTCAAGTCTGAGCAGCAACTTGCAGGGCTGAGAATTGAAGCCAAAAACAACAGTTCCTTGAGCGGCCACTTGGGGCTAACTCCAGATAAGGCCAATCACTATGAACCTCGATGTTAAAACAGAGAACTTTCCAGCTCAGTAAAAAGATTTCTTTTGCTCTCTATAGCTAATTTCCCCTTCCAGCAACAGGACAAAGGGATCATTTTTATATTACTCACCCATTTAAACTGTATTAAGTAGGGATGTTCTGAAATATTCTCAGGTCGGGTTCAGGGCCAGTCAGGCATTTTTTAACTGATTGGTATCAGCAAGAACCTAAACTTGATCCTTTGTGTATGTCCACTGTTACATATGTGTTAGAAATTTGAACAATTTACTTTAAATGCGCAGCGATATAAATCAATAATTGGGTAATTGATCAAATAAATAGGCCACAAAAGTAGCCGTTACATATGTCACTGGGATATAGGAACAGTGTCTAACTGAAACCAGTTAAATTTCGTAAGTGTGTGCTGGCCAGAAGTCATCAAGCTTCACAGAGGACCTTGTCATGGTGCCTCTGTACCAGCTAAAGCCGCACAATGCTCTGCACCTGCCACCATGGATCTGCCCACTTCCTTTGGTTGCTACAGTATGAAACAAAAAGAGGCTCCATCTGATGTCAGTACTTGAAGCGTGCATTAACTAGAATAATGGTTTCGGGTTTCAGAAGATACTATAAATTAAATGTCCCCAATAACATGAAGACTGCATGAAAAGAATCTATGGAGAGGTTGAGTTTCAGTGACAAACAATAGCCTCAAAGCACAAAAAAACCCAAAAATAAATCAGCGAGTGAGATGACCATTTGCATTTTAGTTAAATGGTTGAACTCTGATGGAAGTAA